ACTGTTAGGAGAAAGACTGACAGACTGTAAACTAGAGATTAAGACTGTTAGGAGAAAGACTGACAGACTGTAAACTAGAGATTAAGACTGTTAGGAGAAAGACTGACTAGCAGTAAACTAGAGATTAAGACTGTTAGGAGAAATACTGACTAGCAGTAAACTGGAGATTAAGACTGTTAGGAGAAATACTGACAGACTGTAAACTAGAGATTAAGACTGTTAGGAGAAAGACTGACTAGCAGTAAACTAGAGATTAAGACTGTTAGGAGAAAGACTAACTAGCAGTAAACTAGAGATTAAGACTGTTAGGAGAAATACTGACAGACTGTAAACTAGAGATTAAGACTGTTAGGAGAAAGACTGACAGACTGTAAACTAGAGATTAAGACTGTTAGGAGAAAGACTAACTAGCAGTAAACTAGAGATTAAGACTGTTAGGAGAAAGACTGACAGACTGTAAACTAGAGATTAAGACTGTTAGGAGAAAGACTGACAGACTGTAAACTAGAGATTAAGACTGTTAGGAGAAAGACTGACTAGCAGTAAACTAGAGATTAAGACTGTTAGGAGAAAGACTGACTAGCAGTAAACTAGAGATTAAGACTGTTAGGAGAAATACTGACAGACTGTAAACTAGAGATTAAGACTGTTAGGAGAAAGACTGACTAGCAGTAAACTAGAGATTAAGACTGTTAGGAGAAAGACTGACTAGCAGTAAACTAGAGATTAAGACTGTTAGGAGAAAGACTGACAGACTGTAAACTAGAGATTAAGACTGTTAGGAGAAAGACTGACAGACTGTAAACTAGAGATTAAGACTGTTAGGTGAAAGACTGACTAGCAGTAAACTAGAGATTAAGACTGTTAGGTGAAAGACTGACTAGCAGTAAACTAGAGATTAAGACTGTTAGGAGAAAGACTGACAGACTAAACTAGAGATTAAGACTGTTAGGAGAAAGACTGACTGGCAGTAAACTAGAGATTAAGACTGTTAGGAGAAATACTGACAGACTGTAAACTAGAGATTAAGACTGTTAGGAGAAAGACTGACTAGCAGTAAACTAGAGATTAAGACTGTTAGGAGAAAGAGTAACTAGCAGTAAACTAGAGATTAAGACTGTTAGGAGAAATACTGACAGACTGTAAACTAGAGATTAAGACTGTTAGGAGAAAGACTGACAGACTGTAAACTAGAGATTAAGACTGTTAGGAGAAAGACTAACTAGCAGTAAACTAGAGATTAAGACTGTTAGGAGAAAGACTGACAGACTGTAAACTAGAGATTAAGACTGTTAGGAGAAAGACTGACAGACTGTAAACTAGAGATTAAGACTGTTAGGAGAAAGACTGACTAGCAGTAAACTAGAGATTAAGACTGTTAGGAGAAAGACTGACTAGCAGTAAACTAGAGATTAAGACTGTTAGGAGAAATACTGACAGACTGTAAACTAGAGATTAAGACTGTTAGGAGAAAGACTGACTAGCAGTAAACTAGAGATTAAGACTGTTAGGAGAAAGACTGACAGACTGTAAACTAGAGATTAAGACTGTTAGGAGAAAGACTGACAGACTGTAAACTAGAGATTAAGACTGTTAGGAGAAAGACTGACAGACTAAACTAGAGATTAAGACTGTTAGGAGAAAGACTGACTAGCAGTAAACTAGAGATTAAGACTGTTAGGAGAAATACTGACAGACTGTAAACTAGAGATTAAGACTGTTAGGAGAAAGACTGACTAGCAGTAAACTAGAGAATAAGACTGTTAGGAGAAAGACTGACAGACTGTAAACTAGAGATTAAGACTGTTAGGAGAAAGACTGACAGACTGTAAACTAGAGATTAAGACTGTTAGGAGAAAGACTGACAGACTAAACTAGAGATTAAGACTGTTAGGAGAAAGACTGACTAGCAGTAAACTAGAGATTAAGGCTGTTAGGAGAAAGACTGACTAGCAGTAAACTAGAGATTAAGACTGTTAGGAGAAAGACTGACTAGCAGTAAACTAGAGATTAAGACTGTTAGGAGAAAGACTGACAGACTGTAAACTAGAGATTAAGACTGTTAGGAGAAAGACTGACAGACTGTAAACTAGAGATTAAGACTGTTAGGAGAAAGACTGACAGACTGTAAACTAGAGAATAAGACTGTTAGGAGAAAGACTGACAGACTGTAAACTAGAGATTAAGACTGTTAGGAGAAAGACTGACAGACTGTAAACTAGAGATTAAGACTGTTAGGAGAAAGACTGACTAGCAGTAAACTAGAGATTAAGACTGTTAGGAGAAAGACTGACTAGCAGTAAACTGGAGATTAAGACTGTTAGGAGAAATACTGACAGACTGTAAACTAGAGATTAAGACTGTTAGGAGAAATACTGACAGACTGTAAACTAGAGATTAAGACTGTTAGGAGAAAGACTGACAGACTGTAAACTAGAGATTAAGACTGTTAGGAGAAAGACTAACTAGCAGTAAACTAGAGATTAAGACTGTTAGGAGAAAGACTGACAGACTGTAAACTAGAGATTAAGACTGTTAGGAGAAAGACTGACAGACTGTAAACTAGAGATTAAGACTGTTAGGAGAAAGACTGACTAGCAGTAAACTAGAGCTTAAGACTGTTAGGAGAAAGACTGACTAGCAGTAAACTAGAGATTAAGACTGTTAGGAGAAAGACTGACAGACTGTAAACTAGAGATTAAGACTGTTAGGAGAAAGACTTACCGACTGTAAACTAGAGATTAAGACTGTTAGGAGAAAGACTGACAGTCTGTAAACTAGAGATTAAGACTGTTAGGAGAAAGACTGACAGACTGTAAACTAGAGATTAAGACTGTTAGGAGAAAGACTGACTAGCAGTAAACTAGAGATTAAGACTGTTAGGAGAAAGACTGACAGACTGTAAACTAGAGATTAAGACTGTTAGGAGAAAGACTGACAAACTGTAAACTAGAGATTAAGACTGTTAGGAGAAAGACTGACTAGCAGTAAACTAGAGATTAAGACTGTTAGGAGAAAGACTGACAGACTGTAAACTAGAGATTAAGACTGTTAGGAGAAAGACTGAATAGCAGTAAACTAGAGATTAAGACTGTTAGGTGAAAGACTGACTAGCAGTAAACTAGAGATTAAGACTGTTAGGAGAAAGACTGACTAGCAGTAAACTAGAGATTAAGACTGTTAGGAGAAAGACTGACAGACTGTAAACTAGAGATTAAGACTGTTAGGAGAAAGACTGACAGACTGTAAACTAGAGATTAAGACTGTTAGGAGAAAGACTGACTAGCAGTAAACTAGAGATTAAGACTGTTAGGTGAAAGACTGACTAGCAGTAAACTAGAGATTAAGACTGTTAGGTGAAAGACTGACTAGCAGTAAACTAGAGATTAAGACTGTTAGGAGAAAGATCTTTTTCTTGAGTTGAGGTGGTAAGTGAGACACTTTGCCAATAGAACAAGACAATTAACATTTAGAATAAGAAAAAAACTTTTGCATTGCCTCATTTCAAATGCATATTATCTACCTATCGGAGGAATTTAAGTATGTTGGAGGAGAGACACAGCAGCACTCAGTGAATGAGTGGAAGATGGAGCGGGAGATCGATAAGCGGATTGGAGCGGCGTCTGCTGTGAAACGTGAGCTGTACCGGTCTGTGGTGGTTCAGAGAGAGCTGAGCCAAAAGGCAAAGCTCTCGATTTAGCGGTCGATCTACGTTCCTACCCTCATCTATGGTCAGGAGCTGCGGGTCATAACCGAAGAATGAGATCCCGGATCCAAGCGGCTGAAATGATTTTTCTCCATAGTGTGTCTGGGCTCTGCCTTAGACATAGGGGGAGGAGCTCAGTCATCCGGGGAGGACTCGGAGTAGAGCTGCTGCTCCTCCACATCGAGAGGAACCAGTTGAGGTGGCTCAGGCATCTGGTTAGGATGCCTCCTGGATGCCTCCCTGGTGCGGCTAACATACCCAGCAGAGAGAGTGACTGACAGCAGCCTTCTATTACTACGGTTACAGAGTTGAGGACAGGAGAGTATCGACACTACTACTGCTGATAAGGCTCAAATAATTTGGACCTGCTAACTTCCCAGTCCACCGGAAATCCTCTTCATCATCAAAATAGCACCAGATAGAGTAGAAGCAGACACACTTTTAGGGTGTATTTAATTTTCAACAGTTTCATTAGTATTATTCATCTAAGCATTATTGATTTGGCATTTCATTCTTTCAAATGTTATTTAAATAATGTTTTGTCTATCTCTGTCATTCCCGTCATGAAGTGGTTTGAAAAGTTTCTAGCTGTTCTAAATTAGCTCAAAGTTAATTTAGCCTCATAAGAACATTTTCATGATGTCATGATCATGGCTCTGAGGGCTGACCTAATAGATCATTTCATTCACCTGTCCACCTCTGCCCAGTTTCCAATTACCATTCATGCAGTGGGGGATGGGGGCTTATAGTAATTTGTAGAGATCCTGATTTGCTCATCATGCCTCTTCCACTGAGGCTGCCTGTTCTCATCTGAACGTTCTGCCTGAACTCTCTGTTGGATTCCTGGAACCCTGAACCAGCATGTTCCTGTTCTCATCTGTATCCCTGATCAGGCTGCGGACTCCTAGACCTCTGAGCCTTCCTGTTTGCCTGGCCTGGCCTGGACTCCTCTCTATGGATGGGTTACTGGTTTCAGGGTACACCCCGCTATGAAACTGCTGAATTTTCTTGTTTTCTTTTACTATAATTGAGCTGCACATTGGAGTCTGATAGTCTGACACTGATATTCTTTTTTAAGAGAACTTGAAAAATTGAAAACCATTTTTATATTAGATATTATTACTGATTTCTATGTCATTCTTCCCCACCTTTACTCTGCAGTCTACAAACTCCTCAACTGCAGTTCAAAGGGATCTGATTAGTGGAAACGGTTCCTTTATTTCAATATTTTCCTTACATTAGTTTTAACGATCGTTTATGGTCGCAGTGTTTGAGAAAAGAGGATAAATCTTACTGTAGAGTGGTCATCTCTGTCAGCGATGGCTGTGTGGCTTTAAGGTAGCTGGCCCGACGTGCCTGCATCTTGGGCGAAGGTTTGGGACTTCCATCAGAGTCTCCGCTGTCGTCGTCAGCCATGGCTTTCACATAGCTGCCGCTCCTCATTCTACGACAGGGGATGTCCTCCTCTTTCCCCAGAGGAGAGAAGCCACTCCATTCATCCTGAGGTACCTGATAGTGAGGATGGAAACCCATGAGAGCGCAGTCAGGATGATGCTTCCTGCCTCCCAGCCATCAAACAGCTAAACCAAACATCCAAACTCAAGGAATCATCCAGCAACCAGGACAACCAGCAGGTTTCCCCTCATCCTTAATTCTCTCCCTCTGGCAGCGCACTGCTACTAGCATCACACCAGAGACTGCTGGCTGACATAGGATGCTGCAGGCAGAGGTCATTTAGACATTCCTCTAATTCAAACATCTGCTTCGCTGAGGGTCGTCCTGAAATATAACGGTTTGTTGTGGAATAAGACTCCAAATTAGGTTTACTAATTATTTCTGCTCTGATTAACCTGAGAGTATTAGTTAAAGTGTCACTGATGTTTTATTACACCTGGCAGCAAGGTATATATGTAAATAAACTATAAATCTGAGTGGGCATGGATGGGTTACTGGTTTCGGGGTACACCCCGCTATGAAACTGCTGAATTTTCTTGTTTCTTTTACTAGAATTTTGCTGCACATTAGAGTCTGATAGCCTGACACTGATATTCATTTTTTAAGAGAACTTGAAAATCATTTTTAGATCAGTTTCTTTTCAGCCTTTGTTGATCAATGCAGGGATTTTCACTGATATTTCTCTCCTTTTCTGGACACATGTGATGATGCGTAACCATAGCAACCATAGCAAGTTGATTTATTTACACCAGGGAGCAGCTCTTTAATATCTCTAAAGCTAAAAAAATACTTAATCTACTTCCACAAGTACCTGCTGAGTTGAACATGAGGTGCAGGGGATGCAGTGTAGCAGCAAGGAGAAGAGCGAAGAAGAAGAAATTTAAACTATCTCTTCCATCAGTCATCATGGGCAATGTGAGATCGTTAGGAAACCAGTCAGAACTTCAAGCCTTAGCAAGGACCCAGCCACAATATCAGCAATGCAGCATTATGTGTTTTACTGAAACATGGCTGCAGGATCATATCTCAGACTCCAGCGTCTCTCTTCCAGGCTTTCTGACCAAACCAGCAGACAGAGATTTAAAGAAGACTGGAAACCCTGTGAAGATCCATCCCTGCAGCCCAGATGTTCAACTGATGGCCGCTGGTTTTCAGCCATATTATTTGCCCAGAGAGGTCAGCAGTGTTCTGCTAGTAACCGTTTATACTCCACCTTCTGCTGTTGCCAACACTGCATGTGATGTCATCAGTTCTGTTGTTGCTAAGCTACAGACACAACAGCCAAATACATTAGTGGGAATAATTGGAGATTTTAATCACATCTCTCTCTCTGCTACGCTGCCAATGTTCCAACAGTCTGTTAGCTGCTGCACCACAGAAAACTAAAAGCTGGACTTGTTTTATGCAAATGTCAAGGATTCCTAGATCTATGAAGTTAGACATCCTCTAAGGAAATCAGATTAGAATCTATTTTTTCACTGCTCAGACAAAAAACCACTTTATAAGAAACAACCTGCATTTAAAAGAACTGTGAGGAGATGGTCCCAGGAAGCTGAAGAAGCCCTGCAAGGTTGTTTTGAGGCTACAGGCTGTGATGCTCTGTCAGCCACATGGAGAGGACGTCAATGCTGGTGAAGATTCTCAGGCATCCAGGTCAGAGCCGTTCCAAAAAAACAAAATGAAAAACAATCCACTGGACTTTGTTTCCAATTTTTCAATTCAAAATGTCAGAAATAGCGTTTAGTTCCAGGTTTTATCCAGCAGCCCAACAAAGCCTGGTTTTAGTTTAGAAAACATGCAAATAGAAACGGATGAACGGGTCCCCCCCTTTGGAATGGGGGTCGTTAGGCTGCTTTGTTAGCCTGCAATGCCCCATACCTGTCTATGTCTCTGAAAGGGGGGTCGTTAAGAGGGTATTGCTAGAATGGCTGAATGGGTGAGGTCTTCTGTTCTCCTGTAAAGGGGTTGGAGCTGCGAGGAGAGCGGAAAGGAATCAACTCTATCGCTGCATTGGAGGTTCTTGAAAGCTGAAACCTGAGTTTATATATATATATATATATATATATATATATATATCAGGAAATCCTACCAATGGCTGGACAAGGCTGGACTGAAGGACAGGCACTCATCATGGCTGCACAGGAGCAGGCCCTGAGCACCAGAGCAATAGAGGCCCAGATCTACCTCACCAGACGAGACCCCAGATGCAGACTGTGCCAAGAGGCCCTGAGACAATCCAGCACAGAACTGCAGGGTGGAAGATGCTGGCAGGGGAAGCTAACATGGAGCGCCATGACCAAGGGGCTGGAATAGAATACAGGAACATCTGAGCAGAGTATGGATGGAAACCCCAAGGTTACATTGGGAAACACGTCCAGGGATGGTAGAGAATGACCGAGCCAAGATCCTGAGGGACTTCCAGATACAGACGGACTGAATGGTAACGGCTAACCAACCGGACATTAAGGTGGTGGACAAGCAGAGGAAAGCTGTTATGGTTGCCATAGCGATACCAAGTGACTGCAACATCAGGAAAAATGAGAAACTAGAGAAATACCAGGAGCTCAGAGAAGAGCTGGAGAAAACCTGGAAGGTCAAAGCATCAGTGGAACCCGTGGCCATGGGGGCCCTCAGGGCAGCGGCCCCCAAACTGGAGGAGTTACAGCAGATCCCTGGAAATACATCAGACATCTCGGTCAAGAAGAGTTCAGTGCTAGGAACAGCAGAGATACTGGCAGAACCATCAGGCTCCCAGGGCTCTGGAAGAGGACCCCCGCTGGGAGGGAAAGGGGGGGAGACCCTCCCGCGATGGGGGAGGAAGAAGGGATTATTCCTTATTCCCTTTTATGTCATGTAACTATAATCGCATGTAATTAACAACATTATGCCAAAATTAAATGAGGTTCATTATTTCAGTCTTTAAACCTACTGAGGTCAAAGGTCAGAGATCTTTTAAATAAATATAGAAGTCTGTTTTTTATCAATGATGGGAACCATGGGGGGGGGGAGGGAAGGCTTAGTGGTTAGAGCAGCGCTCTGTGAAGGTTGCAGGTACCCGGTTCAATTCCCACAGACTGCCACTCTGGGTCCCTGAGCAAGACCCTTAACCCCACCCTGCTCCCTGGGCAGCGCACAGTGGCAGCCCACTGCTCCCCAAGGGGAGGGGTTAAATGCAGAGAGGGGATTTCTCCCCTATGAGATCAATAAAGTTCAATTATTATAATTATTATTATGAAACATAACCTGGAAGCATTTTTCTGGTGAATTTGATTCCTGACAGAAAGTCTGAGGAGATTTGTTGAGCTAAATATCTTTCTCTCTCTTCCTCTGCATGTGTGTGACGTCAAAGAGACACAAATGAGCAGTTTGGCTCTAAAAAGAGAAAAGGACCAGCTGCAGTATTATCAGCAGTGCCTCTCACCCACGCACTCGCTTCACATCCACAGCAGCCTGGCACTCAGTCTACTGTAACGCTGAGGAACAGCGCCGCTCTTTAAAGCTTTATCACAGATCCTGTCTGCCTGTTTCATCTTCATCTGCATTGCTAGAAATAATTAGCATTGGATAGCGACCCTGGATCGGTATGCAGCACATTCTAACCATCAGCTGCAGGATATAGGCTACAGAACACCGACGGTTCCCTTGGCAACCCTGTTTGGATGGTCTAAAGTAGCAGCATTTAAAGTAAATGAAAGTGCAGCTGGGAACATTAGTGGAAGACTTGATGAAGAGCGTAGGAGAGCCATGTGTGCAGCTTTAAAATAATAAGTGACAGGAGTTTGTTCAAAGAAACGTAAAAACAGCAAATCTGTGTAAAGCAGCAATGTTGCAGCGAGCGGAGCAACATAGAAGCGGTTGAACGAGCTGCCTGAGGTTCTGTCATCATCTCGCTGCCATTGGCCCAAACAGACAAGCATCAGCGTCTCGCTCCTCTCATTCCTGCTGCCCTTCAAGCGTCTCCGTTAGTCAGAAACCAACTTCCACCAGAGGATGCATCAGAGTGGGGGGGGGGGGCGATTAATGGCTCTTGAACACAAATTATTCTCAATCTATCTTTAAAATTAGCAACAGAAACCAGTGAACTGAAGCTGAGAAGCAGCAGAGGTGCTTCAATAGGAAGGTAGAGATTTAAAGCATCATCGATTTTTAAACATCTATTGTGAAATCAGTGTTTCGCTCTGAGTCTGTTTATGCCTCATTAGAAGATGGACGTAAACTCCTACTAACACCGAACCCACATCCTCAGTGACCTCCGCCCCGCCCCGCTCCGTCCCACATGCATCATATTAGTATTTAACTCATTTATTCAGTATTTAACTCAGTATTTAACTCACCGAACGCGTTAACGCGTTCCTTTAAACATCTCTGGATAGCATGTCCCATTACTAATATTAACACAATAAAGTCGGTAGAACTTGCTACACTCAAAAACTGCTCAATTACCGATCAGTGGTCTGTTAGCTTGCTACCTCTACTTCCTGTTTATCGGAGCTGTGAAGAGAGGAAGCTGAGGCAATCTTTGAAAGAAGAAGGTTCAAATGTTAATGTCCTCAGACAGAGAGATAGAGCTCCGATTGAGGCTCCGTAATGAAATGTAATGAAAGTTTTCATTGAGATCATCTGAGACTCGCCTGATCAGAAATCAAAGCCTGGGAGAATCCGCTCTATTATCTCCTTTGTTTTCTTTTCCAGAAGTTAACCCGCCATAAGCATTAAAGGATGATTACGCATATTTTCCTGTATCAGAAGTATTTCTATGGTTGTAACTAGTTAGAAGTGTGAACCTGAACGTATTGTGTAAAATCAACACAACCATTGTGAACAAAAACATCCAGTTCCGGACGGATTGGGGAGACGACTGCATGGGTGAAACACTCAGCAGCCTGAACGATTCCTCACCACACATGACTCAGCAGATTCCTGACCTTCAACATCTCAGACATCAGGAGAGACCTTAGGTCACCGTTTGTCTCTCAGAGTCCTTCCATGGGGGATGATCTGCTCTCAGAGCCTCATCTGGATTCCTGATCATCATCATCAGAGGTCGGTAAGAT